AAGGTTGAGAAACACTGCTCTAGTCCCTTGCTCACTTCTAATAATGACTTGCAAGTTAGGGAGACTGACAAGAGTAAAAGTGGGTTTGCACAATAATGCTGATATGTTTGATTCAGACCATTTGCTTAGATGTCTATCAATATCACTTCCAGACTTCCAATTGTTTTGAGACCCTTGGGATACTACTTGAACAGTCCTCAACCAAACCACCACCACCACCATCATCCGAATACATACTCTGCTTGAAGAGACTTAAGAATTTGTTTCTTCTTCCATGTATCTTGGCCCTTCTTCTCATATATGGTCTTGTCCCGCAGTTCCTCGTTTTCTGATCTACAAAGAGGACACTTCTGTTAGAGACTCGGTGTAGGAAGTCCCTCCTCACCTCCCAGCTCAGCCCTCCTCATTTCAAACACATACAAATACCTTAAATATAAACAAATGTAAATTCACAACCTGAAGGGACATTATCATTATTAGTATCCCTTATATAGGGGAGACACCATTGTGTCCTTGGTGCAGAGGTGCAGGAATGGCAATGGACCACTAGGGGGGACTGGCAAACCATACCTCCGAAGGGAACATGGCAGATTCCAGTCCTCTGACACTTATGTTTCACACCTTTCTGGCAAGGGGATGCAGGGGGCATCATGACCTGGGACTGATAGTAGGTTGTAGGCTACCTCACCTTAAGATGAGCTCACCTCTAGCCAATCACTCTGCCAATGATGTAATCCAACTCACTGTTACTATGCAAGCTTTGCAAAGAGCACAAGAAAGATATATAAGCAGCTTGGCTGATCAATAAACTTCGAGATCACCCTCACCCTCCTGACTGCCCGTCTTCTTTATCGTCGCTGCAACAACCAACTATTGTATTTATTTATTTCAAACATTTGTATCCCATCTCCCGTACTTCTCAAACCGGGGGGAGGACACGGGGGGGGGGGTGACTCAGGGGGGGCTTACAATCGACAACAATTAGATGCCAACACATACAGACAAAAGCAATATAACACAAATTAAACATTGGTTTAAACATTAAATTATAAAATCTATTAAAACAATATTAACAACAATATCGTCACATCCTGATCCAATTCAGCGTCCAGAGTCCCAGTCCGAAGCCTGTCTATTATCAATTCCCATGATTCATTGCGGTTTTTCTGAGGTATTCCAGCGAGTGTCTCTGTAGATCTAAGAAAACTATTTCTTGATTTAAGTCGTTGACGTGCTGGCTGATACCCAAACAGGGGATGCTGCCTTGGTCCTTTCACTATTGGCTGCTACTTCCCGGCGGATGTCAGGTGGTGCAATACTGGCTAGACAGTGTAATTTCTCCAGTGGTGTAGGGCGCAGACACCCCGTGATAATGCGGCATGTCTCATTAAGAGCCACATCCACTGTTTTAATGTGGTGAGATATGTTCCACACTGGACATGCATACTCAGCAGCAGAGTGTTGTTCATTCGTTCAGTCGTCTCCGACTCTTCGTGACCTCATGGACCAGCCCACGCCAGAGCTCCCT